AATGATCAAATTCAATTTTGAGCTATATTTAGTACGTTCAAACGATCGTTATTTATTCGATCAATTTTTACGACTGCAAGATCATGCGATGCCGCAGGCCGAGGTTTCACATCGATACTTTCCATCGACTTCAATATCGTGAGCCTACATTGACAACACTGAACAGGTGAAGTACCTGAGTCAGTGTAATACTTATTGTTGGAAAAGAGACGTTCCCCCTCGTTGCGACGGAAATTCCTCAATCACGAAGGGCAAAAATCTGAGCGCAACGATCGGAGCACGACCGACGGGGGGACCGCGGGGGACGATCGGGGGAAGAGGTTTCTCATGCACACCGCTATCATGTGCACGCACACGTATAACAAATGTACACACAGACACGATGTTGTGCATACACGCCGCCGTAGTCGTGCCCGGCGTCGCGACCGACGAAAGAAAGTAGTCGGTCCCGTTACGAAATAGCGAGTGAATGCCGGCTATCTGGGTCAGACAAAAGCAGAACTTCCGCGACGGGGTCTCGCATTCGTGGATACGCCCGTCGCGAATTAAAAAACGACAGCAGAAAGAGAGAGAAGGGTCCTTTCCTCTTCCCTCCCTCCTCCCGTCAGAGCCGTGCGATTTCCGCACGATCTCCGCGCGTTCCGCGTGCCGAAAAGAAAAGAAAAAAAAACGATCCAGCGATCTCTCGGAGCGAAACCGCGCGGAACTCGACGGAATCTCTCGATCTATTATGTAATAAAGCCGGAATGACACGAAACACTGGAGGGGCCTTGAGATCCGTCCTCTGGAACTCGAACGGACGCTGGAGTCGCCTAATCCCCGGCGCTCTTTCTCGGTCGCGATTACGGGATCCGATTGCCGGATGAGGGAGGGAAGGGGAGTCCTCGTTGAAATTCTTGCATTTGGTTTACTCTAATGGCGTTGTGTAAAGCGAGGTGAAGGATACACACACAAACACACGGTGGTGTGTTTCGGGGGAGAGGTACGAAAATCCATCACCATGATATTTCTTGCGCGAAGGCCAATTTCGCAAATTGGCGTCCCCGGCTCCGCCGAGAATTACGGTACACCGTCCTTTCCCTCCTCCCTCTCCCCCGATTGTTTTTCCCCCCGGTGCAATCGAGCGTCAGAAAAAGGGAACTCATTATTCATGCGAGTGAGAGGGGGCAGGAATGCCGTTCCGAGGTAACGGAGAGGCGAAACCCTCCGCGCCTCTCGAGTCCGCCGCACCGAGTGCCGGCTCGAAGGAGGCCGCCATCGCCGCCGTCGTCGCTACCGAATCGGAGTCGAGCGGACGAGAGAGAGACGGGGGGGGGGGACTTTAAAGGAAATCGGAAAATCGGTCGTCGCGTCTTGTCTCGTGGCGAGGTGCACGTCCTCGGGAAGCATGCACGTACACCTCGCGCGCGGAGGGAATCCTCCGCGAACTTGACTCGCGCCTCCGCGCGACAAGTGGGTCATTCCGCGGTCGCGAGTCCCGGGGGGTGGAGCGGGGGAGAGGGGGAGCGCGGGGGCAGGGTGCGGGCGCGTTGAGAGTCGCGTGCGGCGTCCTCGCGAGGTTCGCGATACCTAATCGGCGAGGTACGTACGTACGTACGTAGATAGATACGCGGCGCGCCGGTGCGATCTCCTTCGCTACCTTGACATGCATTCTCTCTCGGGCTGGCAGTCAGGGCCGGGGACGCCCGGGACGAGCGCCCGGGCCTCGCCCGAGCCTCGCACGCGCCGATTCTCCGCGCGAGACCACCATCGACACGACGACGTCCGCGCGCCGTGCATCCGCGTGCTTTCACCGGGGTCTAATCACACCTGCTCTCGTTTCTCGCTCGCGCCGCGATTACGCAATCGTGGAATCAGTCTTGAGATCGAGTCGGGCCTTGTGTTTTTAACGTTAGGCTCGGCCTAATTGCGACTCAAACGCGCGGCGTGTATATGTATAGGTATTCCGAGCGGAATATATCTTTATCTTAAAATATCTTTTTCTATATAATGACAATAGTACAAATCACTTCGCTACGCTTGAAAGCGAACACTTTCAAACACGATTTTTTCGGAAACAATTTGAGGTGATTCCGTGACTCTAAAGAGGGGGACACCAATTAAATCTTGATACAATTATACAACTCGTTATAGGCTATACACGCGTCTCATTACGCTCTCGTTACGACGAGAATTTGCGAGAGTCGACTTAATTAGATGGTTAAACCGTTAAGTAAATCATTTAAAACTTCTGCAACGAAGAATTAGCTCTGAATGGCACGAGAGATGAGTTATGGCGAGCGATCGGAGAATTTCAGCACGCGCGGTCTCGGCGAGATCGCATTAACCCCTCTGGGCGACGATTGCCTCGCATCGATTTAGCCGGATCTCGGATTGGATCTTCCGGCTCCTTTCGCCGGCTTCCCTACCGAGAAATGGGTTTCTCTCTCGGCGCAAAAAAAAAAGAAAAGAAAAGAAAATCCTCGAAGATACAAAAGTGAAAGTGGCGACGCCGTTCGTGATTTCTGTAACAGACTGTCTGTGTGACCCACTTGCCGTAGCCGTAGCCGCAATCTTGAAATTCCCATTTTTTGCGTTACCATCGAATGAGTCAACGAAATGAGCACGAGATGTGGAGGAGAGAGGGAAGGGAGGGGACAGCCTTATTAGTCATCCTTTCCTAATATAACGTATTATAGCCGTCGAGGACCGTTCCTTGAGAGCACCACGTGGGAATCTTGTCGCGTATATATTTATTTTTTCATTATATTCGACAACACAGTTTGGCGACTGGAAAGGATCTGAAATAGATATGAAAAATATCGCATACATTTCGATTCCGATTGTCCGTGAATTTCATGACCCATTTATATAATTGCTTCGCAATAAAGAGATAAAGAAGGAGATAAGGAATGATAAGCGAAAGACGGACAATAGTATACACGTGTGTACGAGAGATACGCGCGCAAAACTGTAAAACGTTAAAGGAACGTCGGGTACTCCGGTGGATGATTTGCCGTTTATGCAAGCGGCTGGAAATTAGGGTAAGAGATCGCGATTAGCTCGACGATCAGGGTCGACGCTACTTTGCGGTAAGAAAGAAAGCTGCTTGTGCAGTTCTGGGACACCGTGAACGGATGTGCTTTGCAGAGTTGCACTCCGGCGTGCAGTGCCTCAAACGTTGCAGCTTCAAACAGCTCGGGAAGTCCGGTTGTAACGCCGGGTAGGTCTTTAAAGGTGGCTTGCGAGAATATAAAAGACTCGGCGTTTCGCGCGGTCCCCGAAATTATAATCCGGGCGCGGGAATATCCCAGTTGGTCCCCTTGGAATTTTCCCGCATGATGCACGCGTCACTTGCAAACGTACGACGTTATAAATCTTGAGCGTATATCCTTCGCAGATGTTACTCGAACGCAAACACATTTCAGCCGAAATCGAAGTCGATATTCTGTATCGCGAACGAGACGAGCCGCATGATCGCTCGTTGTATTTTCTCTTGTTTATTTACCTCACAGTTGTTACCTCACAGTTCCCTTTCCGATTAGCGTCTGGTTTTTTTTTAGCACGAATTAAAACTGAAACTAAATGTACGTTTCCTTGGCGATATCGGTCGACAGTGAACCGCGGACAACCGCGACAGAAAGAAAAATAACGGCACAATTATTATTATTATTATGTATTATTTACTGGTCATTATCGTATACTGGTCGTTACTCGTCTGGCGTTTCTTATCGTATTCCGCCACATACACCGCCGCGCCGGTAGATACCAGTTGTTCCGCGAATTATGTAACGTAATCGCAACGCCGGGCCGCTCCGGAATAAATGAATGCCTAAGCCGCGCTTGAAAACTAACCGCTCTCGTCGCGCGCGCGCCGCGGTTAACGCTCATGTACCTACTTCCGTAATTTTTATTAAACGACTTGTTTTTTCTTCGTTTCGAGCTGGCGTTCGCTGCTTTAATTACGCGCGACAGATGTCTGTTTATTATGCGAAACCGCGATAAACTCGCGGAGCGGAGCGCGGCGCGGCGGCGCGCGGCGATTCGCTCACGTGTACCTGCAGTATAATACAATATGTATGCGCATTCACGGCGTATTTTCGTCGCACCTGCCGATATTTAGCACCGCGTATCGCAGGTGCTTGTTATACCTTCGCGTGTACCACACGTTGAACGAATACGCGCCGCATTCCATTCTGCGCACCGCGTCGCGTCCTAGCGACGCGACGCTCCGGCCGTGCCGCGAGAACGGAGTTCTCGTCTCTCCTTTTCCTCCTTCTTTCTCGCCCCGTACGCCGCCCGCGTGCGATGACGGTGGGCAACGGCGGTGGCGTCGTCGAGAGAAAAATAAATGCCAGGAGCACCTCATTGTCTCGCGCAAGAAGCCTTGTCAGTCTCGCCGCGCGTCACGACGTCCGCAATCTTCCCTCCTTCGCGGCTGCAGGGAACGCGCGCCGCGCCGCCCGCGCGCGCGACAACCGCGCGCCGCGTTGCGTCGCCGAGGAATGCGAGTGTCGGGGAGAATGCGACCGTTAGGAATGAAGAAATCGTTTAATTAGTGTACTCCGGTTCTAGCCGTTAGATCGACTCGGAGCGAAAAATTTGAATCGAGTCCATTTTTACGGAAAATAAATCTTTTACAGCCTGTTTCAGTATGTTCCCAGTTTTTTTCTCAAGCGAATGCCGTTGGGTGAAAGTATCTCGGGCTTTGTTTGCAATTTCGAAAGACCATTTTTCGGTATTTCGCACCGATATGCTTCCTCGATCTTTCTCTCGCACGCGTTCTACTGGTCCACCGGGTATAGTTTTCGCGATATGTCAGACTTTTTTTTTTTCATTTCTTTTACGTAAATTTCGTAAAAGCCGCTGCTTCACGGTGCGCGAGCACGCGGTGCGGAGATCGGTTCCGGCAACGGTCCCGGCCGGAATCGTCGGGATATAACGGGTGTCAGATCATGATCGATCGGATATTATCGAGTACCTACCTTTCTCATGCGGGATTTCCGCTTTTTCTGTTGCAGTAAATCTAGCGGACAACGGCAGCCAGAAAGTGGATATGACACACTTCGACCTGCTGAAAGTCCTTGGCACCGGAGGTGAGAGAGATAGAGAGACCCATTTGACAAAGTGCATGCCTTTTCCGAAACCGCGCGCGGCCCAGTCCGCGATAAGATTTGTAATCAGTCCTGAATCATAATGTTTACAACACCGGTAATAGATGTTACTCGAACTATTTGTAACGGTAATAATAGCACTCGAATCATTTGTAGCGGATGCCTTATAATATAATATTCGTACCGTTATAAGCATCGAATTTTATTAACCGTTTCTCTGTTACACAGCGTACATAAGTTAATTTCCGGCAAAATGTTTTAGATCTTTTTTTTTCCCAACCGCGCTATTATTCCTTCGGTATTTCTCAGCACGCGGAAAGCACAATTTTGGAATGTTTAAAAATTTTGCTGGCTATAGATTTAAAAATAATTTTATTGGACTATATATATATCAAAATAATTTTGTTGGAAATTCAAAAATGATAAGCATTGCTGCAAAACGTTTTGATATTCTAGCAACCAGTTTGAATATCTAGCAAAATTATTTTCAGCCTCAGCAAAATGTTTAGACTTTTTAACAAAATCGTCCTTTCCGTGAATATTTGTCTCGATCGAGCTCCGTTATTATTAACATTTTTAAACTACGATGCGTGTCATTCTCTTAATATCGATCGTCTCGTTTTCGTATATAGCTTACGGCAAGGTTTTCCTGGTGCGAAAGCGGACGGGTGCTGACGCCGGACGGCTTTACGCCATGAAGGTGCTGAAGAAGGCCTCCATCGTGCAGAAGAAGAAGACGACGGAGCACACCAAGTCCGAGCGGCAAATTCTCGAGGCTATCAGGGACAGCCCGTTCCTGATAACTCTCTATTACGCGTTTCAAACTGACGACAAGCTCTGTTTGATATTAGGTGAGGCTCGACGAAGAACCGAAGAAAAATAAATAAATCCGCCGATGAGAACGAGAGAGGATAAACGTAGTAAAAACTAAAGTAATCAACAAAAAAGGAAATATATAGCAATACAATGCGCGCGCGTGTGTGTGTCACAAGTTAAATTTCGCCGAATAAGCAGTATGAAAAGTGACATCTTATCCTCGTAAAATAATTTTTTAAATAATTCCGGTATATCACTTATATTACAGACAAAATGAAAATATTTTATCCACACATTATATGCATGGATAAAATAAAAGATTTTTTTATGTCTATACAAACGAAATTTTTACTTAGAAAAAAGAAGACATTAAAAAAAAATGATACCTTTTCCTTTTAATTTATCTGTCGCGTGTATCAAATGTCGCCGCGTGGATGACACGCGATGAAAATAAGCTTGCTCTTCTATTCTTTTTCACGTGCTCAGGAATATGGAATTTTGAACAGGCGAAATATTTTTTTTCTATTTCCAGAATATGTCGCCGGCGGTGAAATGTTTACACACCTGTATCAGCACGATTGCTTCACGGAGGACGCGGTACGATTTTACATCGGCGAAATTATCCTGGCGCTAGAGCGTCTTCATGATGTACGTATTAATATATATATATATATATATATATATATATATATAGCAGCGTTGTATGCGCGCGGAAAAAAAAAAAACGAGAAACCCTTGATGGGAACGAAAATAATCTGTGATGAATTAAACGAAATAAATTAAATTGAATCTAGGTATGTGTATTTCATTTGATGTTGCAGCTTGGCGTAATCTATCGGGACATCAAACTCGAGAACATACTCTTGGATAAGGAGGGGCATCTCGTTTTGACGGATTTTGGTCTCAGCAAAGAGTTCCTACCGCACGAGAGGAACGGCAATGCGCGTACTTACTCGTTTTGCGGAACTATCGAGTATATGGCACCGGAAGTGGTAAAGGCCGGCCCGAACGGCCACGATATCGTGAGTTGAGACCTTTCTATCTTTCCGGCCCGCGTGTTATTTCATCCCCGTATCCGCTTTTGTAGCTTCTTTTCTCGGGTGACGACTCGGTGATAATTTGTTTTAGCTTCCTGACTAACAAATAATTAAATTTATAAAACACGTAAAATATTAGACGTATAATTATATAAATTGTATTAATACATGTGTAATGTTTGCATATTAGTTAAGAATCACAAACTAATTAATAATTTTAATTTTCAGAAAACAATAAATATATCAACACTAGTGAAGTTAACGCCTAAAATGTTTAAATGTATTTGAAAAAATATATATAATATAATTGAAAATTACACATGTATAAGTAAAGTACATAAAAGGAGATATACAGATAAAGTATTATATATGAAAGGAGAGATTATGTCGTGGATACATAATTAACAGTATACCGTCACGTACTCGTTTAAACGTATGTATTACAATCGAGATGGCATTTTCATAGGCCGTCGATTGGTGGAGCGTGGGCGTGCTAACGTTTGAATTACTGACCGGTGCGTCGCCTTTTACGGTGGAGGGCGAGAAGAACAACCAGCAGGAGATCTCGAGGAGGATATTGAAGAACGATCCGCCGCCGATGCCGAGCCACCTGAGTGCTAACGTGAGCGATTTCATCACCCGTTTGCTGGTCAAAGATCCACGTCAGAGATTGGGCGGTGGGCCGCGCGACGCTAAAGAGCTCAAGGAGCATCCCTTCTTCATGGACGCGGCACCGGCCTTCACTTGGGAGGGTCTGGAGAAGAAGCAGATCAAGCCGCCTTTGGTTCCCAAAATTACGCACGAGTTGGACACCAGCAATTTTTCAGATGAATTCACGAAGATGAATGTCGCCGTCGACAGTCCGGCGGTCGTCGATGGTGACTACCCTGACAAACATTTCAGGGTAAGCTTCCTTAATTTTTTTTTTTCGTTATTATCCCGGACAAATAGATATCGTATAACAATCGCGGGTTTTATCAGTCATTTTAGAAATGTCTCACTTGGATGATTTTACAGGGTTATTCCTATGTAGCGCCTTCGGTACTCTTCACCGACAACGTGGTGAGCAGGGATATCTTCGGTGGCCAGGAAGGTGCCAGTTCGCAACGGCCTTTGTTGTCCGATCTGCTCAACACGTGCTTCGAGGAGTCCACGTTCTTCCAAACGTACGAGTTAGACCAAGCGGGACCAGCTCTGGGCGACGGCAGCTTCTCGATTTGCCGGCGGTGTCGTAATCGCAAGACCCAGCAGGAATACGCCGTGAAGATCGTCAGCAGACGTGTGGATTGCAGTCGGGAGGAGAGCCTGTTGCGTGCATGCCAGCGTCACGCGAATGTAGTGAAATTGATAGACGTCCACCACGATCGACTTCACACGTACATCGTGATGGAATTACTCTCGGGCGGGGAATTGTTGCAACGACCGCGGCCATTCACGGAGCGGCAGGCGAAGCGGGTGATGCGACAATTGGCGTCCGCGGTGCGGTACATGCACTCGCGCGGCGTAGTGCATCGCGATCTCAAGCCGGAGAATATCGTGTATGTGCACCAAGGTGAGGACTCGTCGGTGAAGATAGTCGACTTCGGTTTCGCCCGGATGAAGAACAGCTGCGAGCCGTTGCACACGCCCTGCTTCACGCTCCCGTACGCTGCCCCGGAGGTTGTGGCCAACCAGGAATACGATGAGAGCTGCGACATGTGGTCTCTGGGGACCATTCTGTATTTCATGTTGTCCGACAGTCCACCCTCCCGCACGGACACACCTAACGTGGCGATGCGCATCAAGGCCGGTGAGATTAATTTCGACAGCGAGGCCTGGAGTCACGTGTCCCCCGGTGCCAAACAAGTGATGAAGGGTCTGCTGATGATCGATCCCAACAACAGACTCACCGCGGCTTCTCTGGCGTACCATCCGTGGCTGACGATGTACGACGCTCCCGGCACGATTCTCCCGGTGACGCCTATCACTGACGTAGCACCCGTGGACAGCGCGGCGGTAGCCGCCAGTTCAACGTCGACGCAGGAGCGCGACAATTTCCGCTTGCGCGCGGTCGACGCCGCCAAGCTGGCGCAGCGTCGCAAGCACAAACGTTCCAATTCCAGTTCCTCGACGTCGAGACCGTCTTCTTCCTCATCCTCGAGTCCGTCGTCAGTTCAGTTGCTGCATCTACCAAGCGCCACGGCGAGCGCCGCGAACACTTCCACCTCGTCACCGAGCGTCTTCGACTTCAACGACGAAGTTGTTAACGAGTACCTGAGTTCTCTGTCTTCTTCCTCCGACTCGAATTCCTCAATAAGACTCTCACTCCTGCAAGAATTGGAGAGGACCGCGAAGAAGCGGCCGAAACGCCACGCCGACCACGAGTCGTCGTGTCAGCAGATGAGCCCGGCGAAGAAGCATCGACACCGGCGCGACGTCGACAGCGAGGCCAGCGGCAGCAGTAGTAGCGGGCCAATGACGCGATCGCGGAAACGTAAACTCGAACAAACAATAAATTCGGACAGGGATATAAGGTCTGACAATTCCGCGGAGTCGCTCGAGTCGTCCTCGCAGGTCGCGCACGACGAGGGGGATGTCCATAGGAGACATAAAGCTGGCAAGCGGCCCAAACGCCTCCCCACGATTATAGTCGAGTAGAGTTTTCCTACTTATGCTTGGTCCAGTAAACGCTCCAATCAATTCACACTTTGTTTCCTATGCATTTTACACGGTATATATTGTAACACCGCTGCCTTCTGCGTTCTTCCTACAGGACGCGAACATCGCATCATTCCTATCTCACCAGAGTTTTAGAAATATCATATATAGATATATTAAATAGAGTTATATAACATAACTATATGCCATCGCATCTTCTCTAAAAAAATCTCGGTCCATTTTCTATCTAAATAATTATATAATTGAAAAGTGCATTCTTGTACGATGCTAATTTAAATACATCGGATAGGTATACCAGAAACGGACGTGTATAAAACGATACATCGCTGTCAGGGTCTCAACAAAGTATCAGCGTTTCCCCGCGGGGATTTACGCAATATATACAGAATTTATTACGCAGTGTACAGAATTTTATTTTTATTATCGCTATCAGAGAGTAGGGAGAGAGATAAAGAAAGATGTAAGAGTAGGCGGACGCGAAGAATGAGATGGTGAATCGTTTTGTTGCGTTAAACTGGGATTGTCTGTGATTATAGTGCGAGGACGACAAACGTTGTAAATTATTGTAACTTATTATACACTCCCGTTAAAATTTTCTTCCAACGTCACTTCTGCGATCGATAATCATAGGGATGACGATATAGCGATTAACTAGCCAATAAGAAGAAAATTTTAGCGATTACTTGAGACGAGTGTATATGTGGTGAATGTGCCTCAAAAGCTCATTTCATTATGAGTACATTAAAGATATTAATGTAGTAGAAATGACGCGCGATTACGCGAAGATAACAAAAGCAACTTTGTTATTACCAGTGGTACCTCAATAATGAGAAAAAAAAGGAGAAAAAAAACATTTAAAAAGTACGATTTGTTAAAAAAAAAATATATAAATTAAGCACTCTTTTACGGATAGCGTTATTGAGAATAACGACATATTTATATACGATTAAACAAAATTTGTTTATATAATTATACGTTAAATATTAATTTTTACAGATGACTATAAAAAGAAATGACGATGTTTATTGATAATAGATAATAAGTACAATCGAAAAGAATTTCTATTCAGTATTTAACATTTTTTTTTTTTCATAGAAGCCTCGTCACACTTTGATGTATTTGTGTAGTATTTGACATACCTGACAATTTTGAGAAATGATGGAAATGAATGTGAGTTGCGGTAAAGCATTCAGAGAGCTATGAGACAATGTATTAGATTTAATTAAGTCAGATTATTTTGTGATCTAATAGTATCATTAATTCAATCAATGTAATTTTTCACAATTCGATTCGATAGTTGACTAATTATCGACTTACATAAGCGAGAAGAGATTAGTTTGTTAACGAATTGTGAATTATTTCCCCTTTGTCGTTTATACTGCATTCTTCCGCGATTAAAAATGCAGTGCATATTGGAAGAAGGAGATATTTTTTCCAGGCAGTTCTGTGGGTCACAAAAAGGGGAGAGATTTATTTAAAAACGTGCAACATTTCCGGCCTTAAATTTTTCTTTTCATTTGATTAGATTGCTGTGTTTATACTAGTGAGACGATTGTCTTAATCGATGTGTAATATTTGCTGTGAGAGAGATGAAGTAACAAAATGGTAAAGACTGAAATGCGGTTGTATATCAACTCAGGGAACAGAACGCGTTAATTGAGTAACGTTTTGTGTTATCTTGTACGAGATAGCGTTATACGCGAAGAAAAGCATGCGTGCATGCTTCTACCAAAGATGACTGAAGCGACACTCCTCTGTTAAACCAAATAAAGTAACGGTGTGTAGCGGAGAGAAGCTATACGTGAGATATTATCGAATTTAACATTGTATATAATAGTTATTATAAATATTATAGATATTTAAAACGCGCGCGCAAAGATGTAACAAAATTATATCTATATATTTAATATATCATGTCGCTAGAAAATCATATTTCTTTAACAAGGATATATATATATTATATATATATATACGTTTATACATATACATATATATACATATATGTATATTATATATATATACATGTGCATACATATAATATATGTATATATACATACATATGCATGTGTATATATATGCATATATATACATATATTATACATATTTATATGTCTACTTAGAATCATAAAAATCATTTAAAGTAAAGTTCATAAGTTACATCGGTTGCCTGCAGAACAAATTTTTTTCTAAGAAATATATTGTTATGTTACGAACGCTCTTTTTTGGGGTTCAAAGGATGTATACATATGTGTATATAAATATTAATATAAATATATATGAACAGTTAAACAGGTCGAAGCTTGTACCATACGAGAGTGCTGTTCCGTTGCTATAAATACGTAAAAGAGACACCTACCTTTGTTACCACTGGTTGTTAAAATATATCATAATGCAATATTTATTTATAAAACGCTGTTTATTATTTTAATACCATCACTGCTCAACGTTCAACTTGAAATTGCCGGAAGATTATTCCCAGGTAGAATTATAGATTATAATATATAAGAACGTCATTATATGACTTTGTTACTTATAAGTGACTTTCTATATTTTATTATGACTCCTCGAGTTAAATTCTTAATTGTGAAAATAATTGTTTAAGAAATTACTTCCGTCAATTATTAATATAACAATTCACAAAAATTTATAATTTCTGATACTTCATGTAAAAATATCATTTTGTCAGACAGTAATTCTTATCACATTTATTCTTGTCACCTGAAAATAAATATTCTATATTTAAAATAATTTCTTAGGAATACAGATTTAATTAACATATCGTGCAAGATTATTTTAATTAAGATATAGAGAATCAATTTATCTCTTTAAACATTTTTCTATGTAAGAACATAAATTATATATAAAATATGTTTTAATTTTTTTTTTCTTTCATAACTTCTATTCGTATATGTAGGAAAAATAATATAATAAGAAAAATATAATTAAAAGGATAATTTTCGATAATTGTTTCTTATATAAAAACTGAAATAAGTTTTAAAAAATAAGAAAAAATTAATAGTTATGTATGATTATTATAAATAATCATATATAAATGTAATAATCATATAGAAAAGTATATACATGTATATGATTATATATAAAATCCATTATATATAATGTAATCGCATTTTTACACATTTTATACATAATTATATATATAAAATGTGTATATATATAAATTTAATACAAAAAATGTTTACCCAGGTGCGTTAAATCTCTTCGCTCTAAGACTGAATCCTACAGCCATCTCATCCTAAGTGCGGAACCTACAAGGATTGACTAAACGTATGAACAAATTTAAAATGTACCGAAAAGTCCGTTGATCACGATTCAACGATTCCGCCTGAATTTTTATATAACATCTTCTCGGCGCGATTGGCCGCGCGGCCTATTCCACTGCCACTCGCGTGTTAACGGCGGTCAATCGCGTCGCGCGGCATTGCGCGCGCTCGGCCGGTTCGACGCACGCGACTGGCCGATCGCTTGGCGTCCCCGCGGCGCCGCGGCCAATTGCCGGCCGCGGCGCTCCTTCCCGCTTAATGGCGGCGCGAAACCCGGCTTGTGATGTGGCGTCGTCGCAAGCGCACTGATCTGACCGTTGGCTGCGCTGGTTGAGTTCAGTATAGTGCGCATTTGGCTAGGAGGTGTGTGAGACGTCGATCACGGGGAGGTAACGCGCGCGCTCGCTCGATCGACACGGACGTGCTGACGTTTTTTTTTTTCGGCAGCGAGTTGATAATCGGATAGAGACCACGGTCGCGCGCCCGCCGGTACCCCCCTTTCACCCTCCGGTGTGTGTGTCTCTCTCTCTTCCCCTCGGTGCCGCGCGTGCGAGGGGGTAATCTGACCGGGGAAACGACGTAGTGCTTCGTACGAGACCGCAGGCGCGAGAGGCCCGCGTGCATCAGGATCGCAAACAGAGAGATGTCAACGAAGTCGAGCAAGAAGACCGCCGCGGCGGCGGCGGCAGCGGCTGCCGCGGCCGCCGCCTCTTCCGCCGCCGTCGCCTCGTCGTCGTCGTCGAGCAACATCCAATCGCCGCCGCCGAGCACGTCGACGCCGATCGTCGGCCGGCGACCCGGCAGCCCGCTCAGCCCGACCCGCTACTCCCGGCTGCAGGAGAAGCAGGATCTGCAAAATCTCAACGACCGCCTGGCATGCTACATCGAGAAGGTGCGCCTCCTGGAGTCCGAGAACTCCCGGCTGACCCGGGAGGTGCAGACCACCCAGGAGACCGTCACCCGGGAGGTCTCCAACATCAAGGCCATGTACGAGCACGAGCTGTCCGACGCGCGGAAGCTGCTCGACGAGACTGCCAGGGAACGCGCCAAGCTGGAGATCGACACCAAACGTCTGTGGGATGATAATGAGGATCTTAAGAGCAAGTAAGTCGAGCGACTTTTTTATATATATGTATATATGTACGTATATATACATGTTGTATATTGCGTTTTATACATTCCGAGTCAAGTGATAAGCGTGTCCGTCTGTGTTGCCTCTTACTTGCAAAATAAATAGGAAAGTAAGATGGCACTAGTCGGGGTCGTTATTAACGAATATCGACGCGATCGGGCATCTTTTTTTTTGCTGACGACTCTATTGATCTGTAAAAAAAATAAGTGGTGTAAAAAAGTAAATAGAGAATTTTTGCATTTTTTTTTTGCTTCGTGCCTGAGTGAGAATTTGTTGATAGTCGCAGTTGCACGATTGGGTGTTGCAGTCGGCAAAGTAGTGAAACTCGGATTTGAATACAGTGGGGCCCGAGGCTTCAAACGGATGCGGGAGTTGACTCGCGAGAGCACACCGCCGAAGTGCGAAGCTCCGATCTGTGAATCATCGGCACCGAGCAACACTCAATTTTTCTCTCGATCCTCCGCTCGTATTTCTTATCCCCTCACGTGCGTAGAATAAAAATAATGTGCGCGCAAGTCGCGTCCTTAAACGCGTTGCTCGTAAACCTAAATCTCAATTTGAAACATATCTCTATTTTTGCTCTTTCCGTACTTTTTAACGGCTCGATCTTGTAAACCGAACGCCTCCTTCCGTGCTGCTCCCCGATTGCCCTCGTATTTTCTACTTGATCGCGCATGCGTGAAGGAAAATTTACATTAAGGAAACCGTCTGGTCCCGATGAGTGATTATCTCGGGTGTCATTAGGCTTGTCCTTTTCCAGCTCAACTTCTTGCACTTCGTCTTTTTCTTTTGCTCCAACGTGGAAGAGGTACAGAAGTTGAAGAGAAACAGATTTATATTGGCTGAAAAGTAGTTTTGCAATTGTTATAAGATTTTTTAATATTACTGGTTCTTGCCTCTGGTTCTTCACGAATCTAAATGTATAAATCAATTATATTAAAGAATCTCATGACAGGTGCAGAACTGCTTTTCTGCTGAACACGGCTATTACAGACTTATTTTTGAATTAATTATTTTTTTAATTTAGGGCCTAGAAACGCTTGATTTTTTTTTATATATAAAATGAGTAGGTTTCAAGGTAAAGAGGTAATTTCTAACTTTATATATTCTGAATTGTCTTTCATTATGCATGAGCTGGAATGTGTACACTGGGTATATTGTGAAATGAGTTGACGATTATGAGTATTATGACTCATAAAGCGAAGAGATTCGTGCTGCTTTCCAAATACCGATGACGCAAAAATTCAAAGCTAGTTATGTTTATTGAGTCCTGTGTTTTTTAGGACATGCATAATTTCTTTAATTCCTTTAACAGAAGAATCGCTTAAATTGATCTAGCATTATCACTTTAGAATTACCTCGATATCAATATGAATGCAGAAGGAATTATTGTTCCATTTGTGTAATTTACATATCCACAAGGTTAAGTTACAGTTAAGCTTATTCGCGATGTTTCAGTCTACTTTGTCATTGAATATTGTAGACCTTATTCTCTTCTCATATTCTCCGACTTGATAATTTCTGGGGAATTATCAGATAAGCGTCAATTTACTGGAGATTGCACATATTCGCTGTAACACACGTGGCATACCTAGATATCCATTTACTGAACATCATCGTAGATATTACATTTTTTAATATAAGTATATTTTATATTATTTTTATTTTTATTTTTAAATACTTGACACCAAGCCCTACTGTATCTCCTGATATCTCAATATCGATATATAAAATTAAGTACCTAATTTAAAAAAAAAACATGTATATTTGTCTATATAATACAGAACATTTTATGTCACATCCTACATTTTTCGCATACAAGCTACAAAAAAAAAATATTTGCACAATTATTTGCAGATTTGATTTTGATAATCAACGAGTGAATGAAAATTAACTCAACTGAAATTTTCTTCAGCATCGTCTTAGCAACGTGTTTATAAGACGCGCCGAACATTTTCTCAACCTGATCAATACTTTTGTGCCACCGCGTTATCATTCACTTTATTTGCGTGTCGGGCAGCAATGTAGATTACAACGGATATAGATCTCATTTGATCCAAATTCCGGGGATATTCGGCGGAATATGAAGGTATCGCATCGATATCCGTTAGTATACGGATACCCCTCGTCGCCGACGATTTTCAGATTAGATTAACGAGCAGATCTCATCGGTGCGTCACGCGTATTTTCGCCGAATGTGTTTGTCAACAGTTAGGATTCTTTTCTCCACAACAATGGCAACGCGAGAGGGGTTCTCTCGGGGTGCGGGTGAATCAAAGGAAATGAAAATTTCTTTGAGGAATGAGAGAGAGAGAGAGAGAGAGAAAAAGAAAGCGCAGCTAGGAAAAGGAGGGATGAGGGAAAGCGACGTTTGGGAGGAAATAATTTTCGGCGCGAGCGCAGCACACCTCTCGGCCCTTTGGGGGG